CTCTGACTGCCGACCAATAACAGACCAATCACATATTAAATCAGTCTTATTGTGATTGGTCCATTGCGCTAGAGCAGTAGCAACACTATGGGCGAGTTCAAGACTGCAAAGCGGCTAGGCATGCTTATCGAGCGATTGAATATGATTGGTTGGATCTATAAGTAATAACCAATTACGTTCATTTGCTCGGTGAGCAGGCTAGCCGCTTTGTCAACTTGAACGCGCCCATTGTGTCGGTAACTTTTGCTAGCAAAATACAAATCTAATGCAAATACAGTTGATGCCAATCTTTGCAGTTTTATTTAAATTTACTGATATAAATTACTGATATACTCTCAAATTTTGCTTACTAAATGTTTATTTTTTTTTAATTATTATTAGATTTTCGCTAAACTTGAAGTATGTATTACTCTCATGCGTCTCACATTAAACTATGATTAAATCTTTTAGATATTCTAAACCATTTCTGCTTAACGTATTGGTTATGTTTACCTTTGATTTCGACCGAATTAACTCTCCCTGTAATTCTGCGTAGACGACTTTCTGAGTTTTCTAATATTCGCCGCTTTCTCGCTTCTCTCCTGGCATTGACTTCAGCCATCGTCGTATTTCACACAATTGAAACTGAATACGATAATTTAATACGCGAATCCACGTGAGCCCTTTTGTAACATGCACATCCAAACCACAGTATATACACAGTAGCGCAACTCTCCCAATTCTAGCGTGTACAAAATCGAATTGCACATGCGCGAGCTAAGTAGGTAACCAATCACGTAACTGATCCTCTATCACACTTCCTCTCTCTAGTTTTCTATAATTCTCTCGGTCACATTTAAATGTCCATATAAACCATAAAATTCATATAAAAGGCAGTAGTGAAATCGGAGCAAATTGGAGTGAGCATTGAACAATCGAAGCCGTGTTAATATAAAACGTGTAAAGTGTTCGGTGAATAGTAACGTGTAAAGTGTTCAGTGAAAGAAGTGGAAAAAGTGAAAATTAATATTGACGGTGTCGAAAACGAAGGTTATGTTCACTTCGGAGAATAGTTAATTTGTATAAGGATATACAGATTTTCAATTCTCTGCCAGTAAACACATTTGATCTTAGCTTTGTTGCAGGTGCTGCTTCTTAGAAGATACAGAAAAATCAAGGAAAAAGGATGTCGACCCATAAATCAAATTTATGGTGTGTAATGAAGGAGTGCAATTACAATGTTACAGAGAAAAGACACTTCTTTATGTTTCCAAAGGAATGTGATAGGTATACATTTATTTTAATTATTTTTTAAAGCATGTATAAATCAGTTATTATTTTAAATATTTATAATTTTATATTACAATATGTATGTGTGTACTTTTAATTTTTTAATATTCTTTTATATATATGTACATATGTATAAAATGTATGTATAAAATGTATGTATAAAAAAACAATATTTTATATTAACTATTTCTGTTAAATTTATAGATGGTTGCAGTGGATACACGCATCTGGAAGATTTGATTTACAAGTGATGGGCCCAGAATACGCTCATCGCAACTATCGACTGTGCCACTTGCATTTTGAAGAAAAGTGGTACAAAATAGGCAAATGTAGAGCCAGTCTTCTTCCTAATGCTGTTCCAACAATATTTTTTGGAAGAAAGTAAATAATAAATTTTTTATAAAGCATTTTCTACTCTGAATAACATAGTTTTTCTTAAATAGTAAATTTATCATGTATAAATTAATATTACAATTTTTACAGCAATACACCTGTAACATCATTTCAAGAAGAAAATATAACTGAAAAAGATCAGGACAAGATTCAACAAGAAGAAACGA